CTCACCGCTATCCTACCGACGTTGTACTGCGGTTGCACTGCGGTTTAGTCCACCACTTGCCTCACCACTTGACCACTTGCCCACTTGCCTCACCACTTGACCACTTGCCCACTTGCCTACCTTCTAGAAGGTCTACAGCTAAGCTTCCGGAACTCACTAAGACTCCTACGCTATAGACCTACAGATCGAACCCCTGCTGCCTATGGACCTACGACAGGCCTACCAACTGCCTACGAATACACAGGTCACAGGTTCAATTCCCAGGGGCTACACAGATACTGTACTTGGGTAAGGTGAGGGCTAGGGATCGAACCCTGGGTACTGCATCCGCTACTGCTAAAGGTGAAAACCGTTTCAGATGGAGCCTCCCTGGGAAAAAAAAAAACAAAAAAAACCTGCCCATTGGTAGGGTAATGGTCCTGCGTGCTGGTCACACTGAGGTAGGATAGTGGGATAGGCGGTGCACTAGGAGTATTGACTTGAGGATGGGATGGGAGGTGGTCTCATATTCCAGGACACCCACGGCCTACTGCTCCAGGTGATCACTCTGCACTCAGTCACTTGGGCGGTGCACAGGCAGTGTCTGTATAAATCTTACCATGTGCTGTCCCAAAGGGGTTGAATCGCTTGTGTGTTATGAGAGCGCTTACCGGTGTAGGTGCACGAGGTTGCAATTGAGTTTTGAACCCGCAACCTCATACCACAATGCGCATTTCCAACTGGTGCTCTAACCACTGCGCCATGGGCCATTCGCATCTCCCTTCCTCGTCATCATTATTTTTTTCTTTTCCTCTTTTTTTAAATAACTTCGAGTCAGGGGGGGTTCAAGTAACGAGGTGATGATTCCTTCGGGACATCCGTTAAAATTGGAGCAATACAGTGAAGATTTTTTTTTTATATTGGGGTGATCACAACTGTCTATATTCTTCTCTCAACTTCTGTTTGTTTTACCTTCCACTACCGACTCCTAAGACTATCTAGAGGGGACCCCTGCAAGCATAGTTTTCCTCTCTCTGTGAAGGGGAGATTTCATCTTGCCCCTTGCCCCTAATGGTTAGGGTATAGGGTTGGGGCTGCCAGTTGGGGTCTGGCTAACACAAAGACCGAGACCCGCCAGTAGCTGTGCCTCCCTTTCTCATCGTCCCCCACCCTTCATCGAGTAGCAGCAGAAGCATGGCCCCTGTGCAAGGATTTAAAAAAAAGAAAAAAAGAAAAAAACTAACGAGGTGATATGGCCTTCACCATTTATTCTCAACTCTGCATGTAGAGGAAATGGCAGAAAACCCCTTGAAGCACTAGAGAATAACGACAATTCTACCGTCTTCACCCGAATAGAACGTACTGTCATTTTCCCTGCATCTGGACTGACAGGTGTGCCAAATACGGGCATAATGACCACTATTCGGGGGAAGACGGTAGTCTCATAGAAGATCATACAATGGAACAGCACTACTCTACTACCCCAATACCATGCTAGAGCTGTGAGAGAACACATTGGAGAGAACTGTATGTATGCTAATTAAGGGCCACATTGAAAGAAAAACACACGGGCATCTTCATAATCATTCTGAACTCTACAAAGTTAATGAATCGGCAGAGAACCAAGACAAAGTGGCGCTTAGAGTATCATAGAAGACCATACAGACAGACAGCTGATCTATTCTACTCGCTAAATATTATGATAGAGTTATGAGCATAGAAATTGGAAAGGACTGTGTGCCAGTTAAACCACCAGGACCTCTACCAGTGTGCGACCGCGGGGCGTTGGCGTTAATGTGCCGTGACTTCCTAAGGCCCGCGCCGCGACGCCAGCCGTTCAGATTTTTAATCTACGACCGGCGTCGCGGTACGGGCCTCCGGAAGTTTTGGGGAGGACAATGCGCCAGTACAACCGGTAAGTACTGGTGGTTTAAACCACCAGTACACCCGGGCCTGGAGACGCTGCACTGCGCGCCAAGCTTTTCCGAACCGCCTGCTGGCAGCTGGCAGGCGTTGTGGTCTGGTAGCCCCGAGCCGCAAAGTTTCCGGAGTAGGCGACGGACAAATTTCCGGAGTAGGCCTGGAGACGCTGCACTTTGATGTGATGAACGTGAGAGACCGAGCACATATCTGGTCTTAGCAGTTTTTTTTTTTGTTTTGTTTTTTGTTTTTTTAGCAGTTTTTCTTCAACTTCGCTCCACTGTTGTACGAGGCAGAGACCCCCCACGGGTGCTATATACACCACTGCCCAGTATTTGGCCTGATCTCCCCTACTTGCAAGTGCTTTTTAAGTTCATGGAATTGCACCCTTAGTATGGAGGGTCTGACTCTATGGACCCAAACAAACACTCCCTGGGCGGAAAGAAAGACAAAAAATATCGAATGGACCTAAACAAACACTCCCGGGACAGAAAGAAAGACGGAAAATATTGCATGGCAGCCCTTGGCCGCAAATGTGGCAGGATACATGTACTGTCACTCAAAAAGCTTATTGCCTGCTGTGTTGAACCTCTCATCAGGAGGCTCACATTCCAGCCTCATTCCGAGGGTGCACGGTCACATGTAGACCACCCTTCATGCTCACCGTGATATTGGCATCCCACTGCAGATCGCCATTTTCATTGAGAATGAGATCCTCCTTCACAACCTGGAAATCGAAATGGCGATACAGTTTGAAAAGCACAATCTTGAGTTCCAGCATGGCAAAGTTTCGTCCCATGCAAATACGGGGCCCAATACCAAAGGGAATGAATGCGTAAGGGTGCCTGGAGTTGTGCTCTTCAGATGAGGGATCGAAGCGCTCTGGCCGAAACTCCTCCGGATTGGGAAAATTCTTCGGGCAATGGTGCATTGCATGAATGGGTATCTCCACAGTTGTTCCCTTTGGAATGACCCAGTCTTCGATCTGACAGTTTTCCAAGGCCTCTCTAATGGTGGCAGCTACGGGTGGGAAGATCCTCAACACCTCATTCACCACCTGCACCAGACAGTTTCGCCAAAACAGAAGGCATTCGTTTTCAGTTGTTGCAGAATGGTTGTATACAGAAATAGCATTCAATGAGGGATGTTAATGCTGGCAGGAGATATCCAGAACTTCTTCCAGTCATATTCGTTGTATTTTATGGGATGCTGGACCCGCTTTCCAGCAGGTGTAGCTCCCCGCAAATAAATCGGAGCAACTAGAACTGGTACTAGGAGAGGATGCTTGCACCACCCCACCTAGCATTCCGGTTATGGTAAATTCCCCCCCCCCCAAAAAAAAAACACTTAGTCCTTTCTGTAGCGCACCAAACATGTTCGGAGCTTTTCCGAACGTCCGAACATGTTTGGGTGTTCGGCCGAACGCCTCCCGAACGTGTTCGGTCAAACATATTTGCATGGGTCCTGAAGACCATCTCACGCAAGTGTGTACGTGTCACGCATCATCCTTGCACACAACGATCAAGATTCTCACACATTAGACAAAGATAGATGAGAAGAGAACCGAGTTCCACTGCTTATATTATCAAAATTATGATTACAAAGAGTTTCATAGTTCCCTGAGTCCAGCGCTCAGCGGCGCAATGCAAATCCCTTGTCAACTCATCAACATAACTTCAGCACATCAGTGCTACTTCTACAGATTGTATCCAAGGCATCAAGGTGATCGCCACCCATCAGCGCCACCTCTGCAGCCCACATCCAACTCAGGTAAGTATCTTTCATAGACAAACCTTGATTGAACACTCTCTCTCTGTCTNTAGACAAACCTTGATTGAACACTCTCTCTCTGTCTCGGTCCCTTCCTCCTACGATGCATACACACTCTTCACTCACAAGGATCTACTCTGAATGCTACTCACAGCTAATTACTAACCCCCAACTCTACTACTAACTCGCTGGGCAGCTATGGCTGCATTCCTTCCAGCGCACAGTCTTGGTCTAGCGCATCTTCTCCTCCAGCGCTGCTCCTACTGACTAGCGCACAAGCACAACAGCACTTCCACGCATTGAAGCCAGTGGAGATCTGGCGAGGAATGAGGCTGGCTGCTGCCTTTGTAGTGCTGGCCTCTCCTCGTTGGGTCTGCATTTGGCTGCTTCAGGCCTTCCTTCGTCCCAGACCCTGCATTGCATGTGTCCCAGGACTGTCCCAATGAAATTTGACTGCTGCTGAGGCCTCTCGGCCTAGATTTGGATTTGGATGCCTGGATCTGGACTGTCCCTAAGACTTAGACCAGAACTGGGACTCTGCTTATTGGCTTTACTTTCGGACAGGCCCAACTTAGACGAACAGACACACTTACTGTCTGGACAGACACTCACATTGTGCGAATAGACACTTCCTTTTGCACGAACAGACAGACTGACTGCACGTACAGACATACCCTTATCTGAACAAACATGACATATGCATCTTCTGGCGAACAGGTATGTGCTTTTGCAGTGCCCTTTGCTTTAGTTTAGGATGTGTCCCTTGATAGAGAACTTTACCTTTGATCTGCTTTCACGTTTATGAGTCCTGGCGAGATACCCCTTCATGATGCTTTACTTTGACAAGGCCTGTTTCGGGTAAAAAGGCCCTTCTACTCTCGCTGGCCTAGTTTCGAAGTCCTCTGAGAATCATTTACCTATGAATGATATGAATTCCGCTTTTCCCTCTTTCATACGCAGACACAATATGAGGTTTAGAATCTAACAATTCTTCACGTGTGAACCAGCGATCTTCACTAGGATCCTGGTATGCAAACCTTACCTTATATTGACGTTGCGGTCCGCCTCTACGACTAGTATGAAAAGTACTTTCTGCAACAATTTTGTCCACATCATATTTTCCATCCATACTTGGAGGAATCGCTGATCGGCGACTTGGAAAGAGCTCATTCATTACACAAGGTAAGAGCTTGGATGCGTGGAACACTGGATAGGTACGTAAGTGCAAAGGAACTTCAATAACATACGAAGGACCATCCACATCTCCAATCACATCTAAGACTTGCCAAGGTCCTCTGTAAGCGGGTAGGAGTTTCTGAGAAATGTTCTCTTCAGGAGCGAATTCCTTAGACTTTACCCAATCTGAATCTCCTACAACAAATTGAGACGGTCGTCTATGCTTATTTGCCTGCTCAATCATCTGGTGTTGTGCTTTGATTATATTTTCCTTTACCTTCTCAATGTCTTTCTGGTACTGGATTGCGAACTCACTAGTTCCCAAAGGAAGCTTATGTACTTGATCCGAGTTCAATCGATCAATGGGTCTACGAGGACGCCACCCTAAATGTAACTCCATAGGAGTTTTACAGGTGGACAAATGCACAAAGTTGTTATAGGCACTAGCAACTTTAGGCAGATGTTCATTCCTGTCAATCTGATCAGGACGGATGTACATGCGCAAAGTTTGCTGCAAGATCTTGTTCATCTGCTCAGTCTGGCCATTAGTCTCAGGATGTCTACCTGATGACATAGTCAACTTAGATCCATATACATTCATTAGTTGTTGTCATTGTTCACTTGTGAACCTTGTATCTCTGTCACTGACAATAGTCAAGGGATGCCCAAAATCTTTTACCCAGTGGTTAAAGAACTCCCGAATTACGAAATCAGTTTAGTGAATCTATCCACTATGACCATTACTTGTGTCTTCCCGTTTCTGCTTTTTCCTTTAGTATCCATGAAGTCTATAGATACAGAGTCTCCAGGGCCCGTCGGGATAGGCAAGGGCTTAAGTAACCCAAGGGGAGATTGTGTGGTGCTCTTGTTTCTTTGGCACACTTGACAACCTTGCACATACGCGATACAATCTGCTTTCATTCGAGGCCAGGTGTAGGAACGCAATAAAGTCCCATAGGTCTTCTTCCACCCAAAATGGCCTTCGGTATCATGGCATTCCCCCACGGTCAAACTTTTGATCTCTTCATTGTTTGGTATGCACAGCCTATTATTCACATCAGTTCTTTCAAACAAAAGACCCTGAGTAACCTTGTGATCAGGAAACTCTGATGGTGTTTCTTGTACTCGCTTAATCATCGTTCCATAGACAGGATCAGAGGGATACACAATTCTAATCTTCTCTTGTAGATCGGCACAAACATCTAAATATGTCACAATGACACCGAAGAAATCAGATCTACGACTTAGTGCATCAGCAACAACGTTATACTTATCCTTTACTGGCTTTAGCTCAAAATCAAACATATCAATCTCTGCAGCCCATCTTGTTAACTTATGTGTCATTCGAGCTTGCGTTTTGAGCCAGCGAAGCGTTTCATGGTCAGAGTATACTTTAAAATGTCTCCCCAGAAGATAATGCCGCCAATGATTGAGAGCTTCGCGAAGAGCATATAACTCTCTTTCATACGTTGAGGCGGCCACTTTCTCATTAGGCAGTCGACAAGACATAAACTCCACAGGTCTGTATCCATGTCCATCGTCTTGCTGGAGTACAGCACCTATGTCATATTGACTGGCGTCAATTGTGACCACGAACGATAAGGAAGGGTCTGCCACTTTTAGAACCAGATAGTTGATCAAACACTTTTTCATACGTTTGAAGGACATCGTGCAGTGTGAATCCCACTTCCAAATTACTTCTTTCTTAAACAATCTGCGCAGGGGGGCAGCGATTATCGTAAGTGTCTTACAAACTTGCGATAATAGTTGGCTAACCAAAGGAACGACCGCAACTCGATCAAAGTGCGGGGGTTCGGCCAATCTCTGATTGCTGCTATTTTAGCATCTTCCGGTTTGACCCCATCTCCATCAATCACATGTCCCAGGTATAGAACCTGACGCTTAGCCCATTCACACTTCTTTGGGTTTATCTTGAGTTTTGCTTCTCGTAGTTTATTTAGCACAAGTTGAAGGTGCTCAGTATGTTATTTTTCATCTTTACTAAAAATCAAAATATCATCGAGATAAATAACAACAAACTTATGAAGCCATTCACGAAATAGTTCGTTCATCGTTCTTTGGAAAGTGGCAGGGGCATTCGTTAGACCAAAGGGCAAAACTACAAACTCATAATGCCCATACCTTGTTCTGAAGGCAATCTTATGTTGGTCTTCCGGCTCAACCTCAATCTGATGGTAACCGGATTTCAAATCAATCTTTGAAAATATCTTACAACCCTGCACGCGATCCAACAAATCATCTATTTGCGGTAATGGTTCGGCATTTTTCACTGTTATATCATTTACCCTCCTATAATCTATACACATGCGAACGCCGCCATCTTTCTTAGGTACAAAGAGCACAGGCGCACCATAGGGCGAGGAGCTAGGTCTTATCCATCAATTTTTCAACAACTCATCGAGTTGGGTTCGCAGCTCATCCAACTCCTGGGGCGACATACGATAGATAGGTCCCTTCGGGGGCGCGCTCCCTGGAATGATATCAACGCGGTATCGGATTGGTCTTTCTACTACACCGCTTGGGGCTTCAGCCACATCTGCGAACTCTTTTAGGATTCTCTCAATCTCTTGAGATCGGACTTCTTCCTTACTTTCTCCTTCCTTTACTGGGCGCACATATGCCACAAAGACTTGATCATACAAGTTGTATTTCTTTACATGGAGAACGAACGCTGGGCCACTCATGCAACAGTGAGCTAGGCTGCTTTCTTTTCCAGATTTGTGATAGAGACGAATTTTCTTCTTACTTCCTTGCGGACTTGGGAGCCAACATTCATGCTCTCTCAATTTCATATCCGCATTTGCAGCCTCACCGCAATCCATTCCTAGCAACACATCAAAGGGTAAGTTATCCTCCACCAAGAAGGTCAGAGAGTGGAGAACACGTTCCACCTTCCCCTCTGCCTCTAGCTGAAAGTATACTTGAACCCCCTCGACGTATCGATCCATAACCGTTTCACTGCTATCACCCAATTTACTTACAATGGGTTCATTCAACCTTTTAACCTTAAGCCCAAGACGCAGTTTTTGCAAACCTTTTTTACTAATATAACTGCGTGTAGATCCACTATCTATCATACCTCCTACTCTT